CGGAACACATAGTGGCTTTACATTTTTCTTAAGCATTGAACTTTGTTTTGGTGAAATAGATGGGTAATTTTTTTTTTGGCACTAATCTCCCAGGATTCAGTAACTATTTTGAATTTCAACTAATTCGGAATTGAGTTGAATCAGACTCCATTAGGAAGGAACTCTCCCCACGTCTATTTCTTCATTCACAAAACTCAAACTCGATATTTTACTTAAGGCGAATCAAGGTTCCTCCACTTATACTAACAAGTCATTGATGAAATAAATGAATAATATTAACACAAAATTACCATCTATTCAAATAATTTAATAATAGAGCAAATTAAAAATAGAGCAAATTAAAAAACAAATTAAAAAACAGAGCAAATTAAAAAACAAAATTAATTATTTTTTGTTATACAACTCAAAATAATAATAATAATAATAATAATAACAATAATAATAATAATAATAATAAGATATATATTAAGATAGAACGAAAATTACTCTAATGTCTAGGAAATTCAATTCCTACTGACGCCAGAAATAGGACTGTTGTTCATGTTGGTTGGACACCTCCTCCAGTTGGGTACATTAAACCGAACACTGACGGCTCAACTGAAGGTAACTTGGGTCTGGCTGGAGCAGGGGGATTTTCAGAGATCATTTAGGTACCTGGGTGACTGGGTTTCCCAAATGCGTGGGTCTGGAAATTGCTGTCAACAGGGATTTTCCAAACTCATTTTAAAAACTGATTCTAGTGTTGCTAAAATCTTACTTCAATCAGCAAACCATAAACTACACTCACTTGGTGTTTTAATTAGAGATTGCAGGTGGCTCACACGAAACTTTACTGATATTCAAGTACTCCATGTCTACCGGGGAGCTAACGTGGCTGCAGATTTTCTTACTAAGTATGGGGCCAACCCTGAATTAAACTATGTTCTGTACAATGAGAGTCCTTGTGAGCTCTCCTATATCTTTTTGTGATTGTATTGAAACGGTTGTTCCTCGCGCGCTCTGTTGTAGCCGCTTAATATCTAATCTATTTTTCTTTATTTACCAAAAAAAAAAAAAATTTCCCACTGACACCACTCGGACATGAGTTATACATTGAATCTTGGTTTTAATGTATAGTGATTAATGTATATATAATTGGAGTCTGAAAGAGCATAAAGTCAATCTTTTGCTCTTTCGGACGCCGATTATGGATTAAATCCTGTGCTCTTTTGGGAGTAGAGGTTTAAAAAAACACGTCGACTTTACAAATTTTTTTATTTATAATTTTTTTTATTTAAAAATGTTAATTTTGTCAATTTCTAAATAAGGATATTAACTTTTAATATTTTCTACTTAAGGATGTCAACTTTTAACTTTTTCTATTTAAGAATATTAACTTTTAACTTTTTTCTATTTAAAGATTAATTGAATAATGATACTAATATGACAAATGAATTTTTTAATCAAAATATTGAAAGTTAGCATTCTCAAATAGAAAAAGTTGAAAGTTAATATCCTCAAATAGAAAAAGTTGAAAATTAACATTTTTAAATAAAAAATATTAAAAGTTGACATTTTTATTTAAATATTGACAAAATTAACATCTTTAAATAAAAAAAATTATATATACAATTAACATCTTTTTTTTACACCTTGCTCTTTTGGACTCCAATTATACATTAAATCACTATTCATTGAATCCTGGATTTAATCTATAACTGGAGCCCGACGGTGGACTTTGGAGTCCGAGTGGCGGGATCCGAGGTTCTTCCGCTGTGTTGAACTTCTTATATATAAGCAACACTTGTCATTGCTTTGCTTGAACACAACACTTGAGCTAGAGATAGGCTGCAGAATCAAATTTATATTTTTGGTTGGTGACTAGATTCACGAATAATTTATTTATTTTTTATTTCTCTACCATCAACAATATCTTCCACCAGCAGTCCAATTTTGAGGTTGTTCACTTGTTTTCTTTAACTCCTCAATTGTATTCTTGTTGGTTTTTAAATAGATTTTCCCTTATGAGTTTGTTTTGTAGATGGGGTGACTCCTTTTATACCGAAATAATAGTCATATTGAATATGTTATTAACAGCCTTCACTCCTCTTATATAGTATCCTATCTCATTCAGATTTGGCATTCTGACATGATATCCATATATCGTGTAATGATGACGTTGTGCGTTGTGTAACGCTGGTTACCATTATTAGCCTCAGAGAAGGTCGTTCCAACCTAAGCACACACCACTACTAGAATAAAATTTTATAGATAATCATCTTATTAACAAGTTTATTAGTTGTAATTTCTCTCCTTTTCATTAACAAATCATATAATGCCTTGTTCTGGTTATTTGTATGGCTCCTCTTTGTTGCACACCATATTTGCACCTTGACTAAGGAGCTAAATCGACCACTAGGTCCAATACTGCCCATTACAAGTAATATAGGATCCAATTCTAATTACATCACTACAACTATTGGTAAAATAAAAACTTGTGTAACAAACTTGTTCTAGTGATGTATTACAATAAATCTAGTGGTTATATTTTGTTGGGGAGACATACTACTTAGTGGGGCAACATTGAGTGGTCTATTACATGTTTCGACACTACATTGGAACCAAAAGACTAGTTTATTAGTTTTATGAGTCTTCACATATATAAACCATTATTTCCTTTTATATCTTCTCGATATGGAATCTTTAGTTTCCTCATGCTCACAAGGAAACATACTTCAACACTCTCCCTTTTCCTTGTGAGTTGTGAAGGCCCATGAGAGTTCAACCATTTTTTTTTTTTTTTGACATACATACATGACATGATTCATAGGTATACTCATTATG